AGATATCAGAAAGAGCTACTCCCCCCCCCCGCATATATGTTTCAAATGAAATTGACTCGTTTGTTTTAAAAATCAAATTGACTCTCCTGATGATTATGTATGAATTGCACAGTTTGGTGTAATGGAGATTTTACAATGCAGTCCTCTAAGTATCTACTTAGAAGTAAGCTGTATTTATTTCAATGGGTTTTGCTTCCAAGTAAATAGGTGAATAGATACAATGAAAGATGAAGAGTGGTTGAGATGTGTAATGATTAGTATTAGTCACATTCATTCCTTCAGGAAACTGCATTGAAATTAAACATTGTTTGCATTTCTTTCCAACTGCTAAGACTTTTAATCCCTGGGGCACAAAAGGGACCACAAGTAAGAGCAGATCAACAAGATTTAGGGAAAATTAGATGAGAATCAGACCTATCTTGGCAATTCTGTGCCCCCCCCCCCATCTCAGATTCTATTGGATGGCCGATGTTTGAACTAATAGAAAGCAGGTTCTGAAATCCTTCTTTGGTACAACTGCTTGACACTACGTGAGATGAGTAAGTTGAGCGGAATCAAATACACTGGCCAATAGAATCACTAAAAATGATCTCTACAGGTTATAAGGAGGTATACAATTTCAATTCTAAATTTTAGAATGAGTAATTTAAGGCATCACAAGCTACCTCCACCTTACTATATATTATTTAGCTACTCAAGATGTCATCTGGATGCACACCCTGCATAGGCACCTTTTCAGATACAGAGGTGATTGCTGAACATCACAACTTACGGTGTTTTATCTTTTGCTTTACCCAAGTGGGGTGAAAGTGTTCCAGGGAGTTCTAAACAGAAGACCAAAATAGCGATCTGTCATCATATAGATATATTTCACTCTCACCACATAAATACAAAACAGTCAAATATTCAGAACATTCCAAATAAAGGTTAGTAGCGGGGGCTCACCTTCACCCACAGATTCATTCATATTTTTTTCTTCACTAGTTGCCTAAAACTTCAGACATAAATAATTTACAATAAAATTATTGTGACAGTTTTCATGTTATGCTCTCTCTTGTTCTTTCTGTTCTAGAGTATACTCTATATGTACTACATCAGCCATTTCACTTATTTCCTTTTTTTTTTTTTTTTTGGTTGAAAAGTTTGGTGGCACATATTTTGTACAGTGTAAACACAATGTATCAAGTGTTTTTCCAATCCCCCCTCCAAAAACAAAACAAAACAGGTAAAAAGTAGCTAGCTAACTACTTGGGGTTTTGTTTCTGTTTGCTGCTTCTGGCAAACTTACAGTGTTAGGTAAAAAAGCAGCAGCAGCAGCAGCAACAGCAACAGCCAGTAATACATCAGTGGTTAACAGGGAGACTTTCAAAAAAGGTAAAATAACAATTATTACATAAGAGGATAAAATTAGTACAAAATCAAATGGGACACTACTTTGCATTTTGTATTAGTTTTGATTTAAGAACAAACATTTCAGAAGAAAATCAGTCAGAAGAGGGCAAAAATCTATACTTCCAGTTTACGTTCAATTTATTTAAAAAGTTGAATATATTCCAGTTGGTGTTCGGAGAGTGCTGAAACTGCAGGCACATGAGCAATTCAATAATGCTACCTCATGATTATTCTTTTTCTGTTTTGTAGAGACCAAAATCTGATCATTTAAAAAAAGCCTGTTTATAAGGATCTTTTTAAAAAGCTTCAATTTTTCGCATTCATATATTGTTAATGAGGGCTGTTAACACAGGTGATATGTGTCTATTTCTGTCTGGTTTCCTTCAAGAATTTAACAAAGAAAAGTGGGTTATGCAGTTTTTTTAAAAAAAACAAAACAGGCTAGACTGTAGATGCAAATACTGCGAAGTCTGTAAGCCTAATGTAAAATCTTAATGGGGGGGAGCGGCGGCGGGGGAGGGGTCTTGATGATTGCAACATTCCTAAAACCGTATCAAGTCGGCGTTTACTTAAAGTGAGCTTTCTTCGTAAGCATTCTTGGGTCAATATTTCAAAGCTAAATCAGTTCCCAACTGCGTTACCTGAAAGAAGGATGGTTGGCCTCACTCGGCTTACACCCACATTCACAACTTGGAAATGAAACTGCAATCCTACGCATACTTACCGGAAGTAAATCCCATCGAAGTAAAACTGCTGAATACCCGCAGCGCGCCTCCTTCCACTTAAGTCAATGGGCTTCACGCCCGAGAATTCAGTCTGGCATTGGGGCATACGGACACCGGGGAGGAGGCGGCGCGCATCTTCAGGCAGATGTGCAAAATAAGTTATCCCTTGGCAGGGTACTGTTGCCCGTGTTGAGAAAGGGGACCTTTCTTAGAATTGTGCTTTAGGAACCTTACAACACTGAGCAACCAACATCTTGCCTGGCAGGCTGGACTTAGGAGGGTGCGTGGGGCTAACGTACGCGCGAGCAGCCCCACCTTCCCCCCACAAAATGCACTTCAGCTCCGACCAACCCTTCCCGCTTCAAGACCCTTCCCCGTCACCCGCCCCCATTTCAAAGTCTGCGCTTCTTTCTCGCGTTAGCAGTCAGCTTGAAGGAAAGGGCGTCCGCGTCCAGCAACTGAAACCCCTCTTCTGCCCCCCAACATGATGTCGCCTCAGTTTTAGGCTTTCCACCCCGCCGCGTTTCTGAAACGCTCGCGAACGCGGGTCGTCACAAGGCGAGGCGGGCTCCGCGCTTCCTCACCCCCGACCCCCCTCTTCCCACTTTCAACAGCTCGCGGGCCGTTTGGCTGGTCCCTCCGCCTGTTCACTGCCAGCGTTCGGCTTCGGCGAGTTGCTTTTCTCGGCCGGCGCTTCTCGAAGGCGGCTTCCCAGGGCGGGGCGCGCCGGGCGAAACCCGGGAGGCTCCTGGTTTGGGAGGCATGGGGTGGGCGGGGGGGGGGGGGAGGGGGG